AGAGAGAGAGAGAGAGAGAGAGAGGAGAGAGAGAGAGAAAGATTAAACTAACGGCAAGAATGGAGAGGGACAAGAAATCCTCGAGAAATAAAAAGGAATAATTGAGATGTGAAAATGAACGTTCAATAATTAATACGCAAAAACATCGGAGAAAACATGTTTTGTCCACGTCAATGCCTGTATCGATGATGTGTGAATCAACAACATCGGCCATTAATATTAATGTTTATTTTCCCCATCAAAGTTATCATCCCTTGCGCACATCCTCTTACGTGTGTAATTCTTTTTTCCTTTTTTCCACGAGTGTAATCGATGGATTACACGAACTTTGAGATCGATCGAATCGTGCATGGTAAAAATGTTATATACGAAGTTTGGTGAGAAAACATTAAGGAAAATGACGATCGAAGGACTCGGATGAAGCGGTAGAATGAGAAAGCAGTTTTAACTTTTATCGAATCTCGGAGTCGCACCATCGACCTCGACGACCCTTAAAACCCGATAAAACGGTCAGCTTCTTCTATTCGAACATCAAATGCATTTGCGCGTTATCGAACATTTTATCCGGTGGTAGAGTCTTCGTCTTCGGGAATTCCATCGGTATCTATCGGTTATTTGACCTTATATCGAATTTTTTGAAAACGAGGTCCCAATTCCCCGATAAATTTTTGACGAGCACGTGATTATGCATGAATAATCTGTTATAAAAGTGTGACATCCAGCGCCTCCACTTCCACATATCTATGTAATTTAAATCATTAATATAGCGAAATTAAAACTCGAAAAACTAAGCAAATGCACGAGCAAGAAATATATGGTGAATATGGTTCGACGTTGTCGGAAAGTTTTCGTACGATAATCGTATCAATTAGTACGTCCGAGGCTATCTTTCTTCTCGCTCAAAGTATTCCGTGAACGGATAATCCGATCTTGTCTGCCCTTAACCCACAATCAAAATCGTTACACGTGACCGTATAAAGATCGAAAGAATTCTTTTCGCGTATGTAATGTAATCGTTTCCGTGGTGAAAAGTAAAAATACTAGAAAGAGGAAACTGTGATCCGCGGTCACAGCTGATTCGTAAAATCAACGCAGAAACCCAGATTTGAATTATACATGTATTGCAGAACAAAGATCTGATTAGAATTCGATGGTGTCTCGCGTATAATTCAAGATCATTATCGTCCCTTATCTTCAGATACCGTTTTTACTGGTGCGTGTAACGCGATATTTAACGCGAGATCCGACGATATAAACAGCGAGAATAAAAAAAGATATATACAATACAATAAACAATTGCGATTTGTAACGTAAGTGAGAACGAAACGATCGTTACGATCGATACAACACAGAGAAACAGAAAAATCCATTAAGAGATCGAGTCGATCTGTAAGAGGGAACCGATTACGCGATTTCTCTCCGATGCATTAAATGAGCGTTTGGAAAGGGACCAGAACGACGATAATATTACTAGAAAAATATGGAAGAATGTTATCGTTATCGGTGTACCATGGCAGGCAAACATCGACCGCTTTAATACAGGGAATCGCAAGGAAAATATGCAGTAATATATTATCTTATTTCGTATTGTAACACGTCGTGTGTAGATCATATGGGTGGTGCGATCACGGTTCAGACCAATGAGTGAATACGGTAATGTGCCTTACCCCCTTACACGTGATCCCATCTTCATCACGTCATATCGCTGACCCCACGAGCAAAATAATACGCGATATTTAACAACGTTTTACCGAAACACCAACATATTTTGTGCTCCGACGGTATCAAAATGTGACGTGCCCTCGCTTTTGATTATCTTAATGTTATAAATCACGCGATACATGGACCGTGGAGTACGCCTCCACGTGGAACGATATGTCAACTCGCCGATCGGGCCGCGTTCTACTCGAACGAAAAGTTCGAAGGTTTCTTTCTTTCTTTTCTTTTTTTTTTTTTTTTTTTGGGAAACCCGTTATCGTTATTGATACGGATAATCCGTAGTAATAAATCAGTCCTGCATTATAAAAGTTTTTTTTCGTGAATACGAAAGAAATACGAGAGAAGTAAATATTACGCTTATAAAATAATCTAAGAACGCGATAGAACAGCGGTTATATTTTCCACATATACAATTGAAAAAATCATATACAAAAAAAAAATCTACCACACTTTGTCTTGTGTTACATATTTGTTAATAAAACGATAAATATTAAAATAATTGATTGAAATAAATTTAATTCTCACCTAATTCTTGATGTTTACACGATTTCCTCAAAAAGATGCGAGAATTCAAACTGATAATCCCCTCTGCGTTTCAAATTCACGTACTACTAACGCCATCGATCGGAATAACCTAGAAATAAATGCAACGGAATGTATGTATCTGTAAACTGTATTAACAATAGTTGATCAATAGATATTCTTAAAATTTTTTATGAAAAAACAATTATTCTATTCGTTAGTGTTATTCATTTCTACTTTAGTACTACTTTAATACAAATTCTATTTAAGAATTGAGCTTAAACTAACCCTATTTTTCTTATTCATAACCTGAAATTTATTCCGTACGATATAAATTTCATTAAAAATAATTTTTACTTACCTTTCACCCTTAATATGTAACTTTTATTTATTCCATTATATTTTTTGAACACATAATGAAACTGAATCACACTTTTCTTGTATAAAATACTTATTTCACTAGAAAAACTCACAAAACTTCTCTACGAAACGCAATAACTTAAAATCTACGCGGCAAAATGGCGCTAAAGAACATGGCGCCAAATGCGCTCTCTATCGTGAAAATACGAATTAATAAGATGACAAGCATTCAACCTATATCACACAACCTATTACAAAAATGGCGCTTGCTGAAATTTGCGGTCTAAAATCATTTGTTGATTTTAATACCTCTCACGAAGAAGATTATTATTTGCGAGAAATTGAAGGATATAGTAAAAACTTTATAAATAATGCACAACTAGCAATACCACCATATATAAATGTAAGTAAATTATACAAACTGTATTCATTTTTCATAACCACTCTTATAATTTAAATTTGCTACATCATGTTATATCATTTTTTTTTTAAATCAATTTCTCGATGTGTATAGCCAGCAGAAAAATTGGCTCAATTCGCAGAAGCACCGGATGAAGCAGGAAAACATCTAAAGATCAGATTTGATCATGGTACTACCACACTGGGTTTTCAATATCAAGGTGGAATTATACTTGCTGTTGATTCACGAGCAACGGGAGGCCAATTTATCGGTAGATTTATTATAGTACCATATATTGTATTATATTATATCTTTTCATATTTTTTAATATTAAAAAATTTATAATATTTTTATCGTAGGTTCATCCACCATGAAGAAAATCGTTGAAATCAATGATTATCTCCTTGGAACATTAGCTGGTGGTGCTGCAGATTGTGTTTATTGGGATCGTGTTCTAGCAAAACAATGTCGTACATATGAACTAAGAAATAGAGAACGTATTTCTATTGCAGCAGCCAGCAAACTTTTATCAAATATGATATATAATTACAAAGGAATGGGATTAAGTATAGGTGAGATTCTATTTTTGAGTCAATTATTAAATAAATTTGTTCAATGAAAATAACGAAATATTTATTATTTACATTAAACAATAGGTATGATGCTTGCTGGATGGGACAAGAGAGGACCTAGTTTATATTATGTTGATTCGGAAGGTGCTCGTACACCAGGAAAAGTATTCAGCGTAGGATCAGGTTCAATTTATGCATTTGGTACATTAGATTCTGGATATCGCTGGGATCTATCCGACGAAGAGGCTTATGAACTTGGTAAAAGATCAATTTATCATGCCACTCATAGAGATGCTTACTCTGGTGGTATTGTAAGAGGTATGTAATTAGAGAGAAAAAAAATTGCACTGTATATTACAAAAAATAAATCTTTCACAGTGTATCACATAAAGCCAACGGGATGGGTACACATTTCCGATGAAGATTGCAAAGATCTTCACTACATGTATCAAGAACAAAAAGAAAAGAAGCTTAATTAATAATATATATGGCTTATTGTATCTTATCAAATGTTTTCTCTAATAAAATTTTCTTTTAAATATAAAATTATTTGTTTCATCATTTTATTCAATAAACGATATGAATATAATTTTTCATAATATTGAAAATAAATTCTAAACTCAATATTATTAAAAAAATATATATTTTTTATAAAAAAGATATAATAGAATTATCAGATAACAGAAAAACATTTGAAAATTATTCTCCCCACTGCTATCACCTATATACTTGTTACAGCGCCGACCGCCATCGTGCCAGTGTGATTGGTACCTCGGTACAAGGCGTTATTCCGTGAAACAAAATAAGTGTTTTAATTATATTTTAGCTGACTAATTAACATTAATTAGTAATTAAATGTCAAGTCCAGAAGATTGCAAACTTAAGGGTGGACATCCTCCTGCAGGTAAATAATTTCGTCATAATTTTCTTCAAAAGTGAAAAAGGTTAATATGTTTACTACGCATTGAATGACGTCGTCGTATGCACCTGCTGGACATTTCAAGGCCATCTGACGATATAACTTTCTTTCGATAAAAAAATTATTTTATATATTTTTTTTTTTTTCACAGTAAAAGCAGGCGGAATGAGAATCACCCAACACAAAACACCGAAAGAAGATCGGGAAATAAAACCACTTAAAGATGTGGATGAAAGTAAACCATCGAGTAGGTAAATATCTTTTAATCTTTGATAACAAATAATTTCACTTTTCAATGTAAATGAAAATCATTGTGGAATTTAATTTATGATTATTCGTTAAAAAATGAAAATACCGATAAAAATATAAATGACTCTTGAGACAACATTTGTTTAAAGTCTTTAATATACATAGCCCGTATATGCAATATCTGCCATACTTGAGATAAATCGTCACAATCCATATTACGCGTTAAGATGCAATACAGACGAACAAAATGGATATACATACAACAAAAAATTGTTATTTTAAAATAATTGAAAAAATAATATTATTTTTCATGATTTCTTAATAATATGATTAATAAAATATATTTTTTTTTTTCCAATTTTTTTTTAGTCCACCTAAAACTCTGATGATCAGTGGAGTTCCTGCAAAAGGAAATGCAGATTTTCCTCCAGAAGCAGTACAAGTCTTCCATGAAAAACCTGTACCAACTCATGATGCACGTCCAGCTCACTGTACACGTCCCATCATCATTCACCAGCCAAGGAAGTGAATGATGCGTTTATTGTTTATCAAATCATATATAGGCTATTGAAAAAAATATTAGCCTATATACTTATCCACTGAATAAAAAAAAAAGGAAAAAAAAAAAGAATGAATGAATGATAATAAATATCTATATGTATGTGTACTTAAAAGTTTCTTGGGATATAGACTTTATGTATTTGCAAAATTTCTAAACGTATTGTTCTTCATCCAAGAAGCTTTGATTTCATACAATATGAAACAAAGTACCTCACGAGAGTTTATTACTGTTAATTAAAAAAAAAAAAAAAAAAAAAAATTTAAAATCTTTAACGCAGCGCCGGCGAGATTCCTGTATCGGCATTTAGACAAATTTATTGCATTTTATCGAAGTAATGTATCATTCGAACGCAATTTTTAGATTAGATTGTAACATGATAGTGTGCTTTTAATCTCAAGTTATATAATGAAATATTTTTAACTGTTCTCGGGACCAGTATTTCAAGTTATGTAATATTGCGAAGGCTATATACTTTTTAATTCGTGCATTTTATCCTTAATTTTTTTTTTTTTTTTTTTAAACGTTATTAGAAATTTCATTAACGTGTACATCTTATTATATAGTTTTCCACTGCGGTAAAGTATCACACTACTTAATAAGCATAATTATTAAATGCGTAAATGTCGTACGAGATTCATAATCGTTGGCCACAGTTTGTACGAGACTTGAAGAAGAAAAAAAAAAAAAAGAAAATATATTTACGTTTTAAACGTAAAAATTAAATCTATTTATTATTTTCCTTTTTCTTACTCTTATTCCCTACAGACATTGGACAAATAGTCACGCAATGTCGTTGGTAACCATGAGTAGCATTGAATATTGTCGTCATAGTAACTGGCATGAATTCTATAAACATAGCCACATTGATGTGTCAAAGGTCGAATGAAAAGCTGATCAAGTAGAGCTTCCTTCCTGATGTGTAAAGATGTGAATGCGTTACGGTCCTTAAACGCCGTTTCCGTCTGAAAATTTTCGTACGTCCTCAATCCTTCGGATCGCCGTATCAGTTCGTAAAGTTTCATCGTTTCCACCTTTAATCGCGATGTCGTCAAAAAATACCAACGAAAAGGTTTTGGAGATCGATGCACACGTCAGCAAACATTATGACATCGTTCGACGTCTTGGCAAAGGGGTAATTTTTTTCTTTATTTCTATATAATCATGCATTTCTTCAATCACAACTTTTCAAATCGTAATAATACGTCGTACAATTTTGAAATTTTTTTATTCCAATATTATTTTTTCCATTTCTTCCGGTCTATGTGTAAAATATTTAGCATTTTAGAAAGAATTATAAAAAAATAGGATTCGAAAGGATTTTTCCATTCATTGTTCACGATGAAAAAAGAAGAAAAAAAGAAAAAGATTATTTTTACATAATATAAAGAATAGGTTGAAGGAATTAGCGAACATGACATATGTATAGAATTATCGATAACAGTTGTCGTGGTACGTCCATCGCGGAAAAATATAACCGGAAGTAATCGATAGTCGAGCAGTTAGCAATGATAATCACGACGACACGAATTATGTCTAAGAACAAGGCTACGACGATGTTTCGTGACAAATCGGAGTAAATTTCGTCGAAACGTTTTGTAACATATATATATATATATATATCTTGGACAGAAAACAATGTTCTCGATGTTCGATCTCCCTGTAGGCTTACGGTATCGTGTGGAAGGCGATAGACAAGAAAAACAAGGACACGGTAGCGGTGAAGAAGATCTTCGACGCCTTCAGAAACCAGACGGACGCGCAGCGCACATTCCGTGAGATAATGTTCTTACTGTCGTTCGCCAATCACGACAACATCATACGATTGATCGGTCTTCACAAGGCGAACAACGACCGGGACATTTATCTCGTGTTCGAGTACATGGGTGAGTTTTACCCGGTCCGAAGAAGAAATACGAAAAAAAGGTCACATGCCGCGGTGATTCTCAGACTTTTGGCCTGAAACCCGTTTCGGCCCGTTTCCCCAGAAACCGATCTCCACAACGTGATTAAGAAGGGCAAGATCCTGAAGGACCTCCACAAGGTGTTCATCATGTATCAGCTGTTTAAGGCGATCAAATACATACATTCGGGGAACGTGATACACAGAGACCTGAAGGTGAGACCGTCTACGCAAAATAATCCATTTACAATTGACGTCGGAATGACTGCCATCGTGACTTACCTTCGTTCCAGCCATCAAACGTTCTACTAAATGCTCATTGTCATTGTAAAATCGCTGATTTTGGACTGGCACGGTCGGTCACTCAAATAGGCGAAGGAGATGGTGAAACAGCCAGCGATCCTACGCTCACGGATTACGTGGCGACTCGCTGGTATCGGGCGCCGGAAATCCTCGTTGCTTCGAAAAGGTATCGGCGTTATGCATACACGCGCGTATCCACGTACACACGTTTACGTTTAAATTTATCGGCTATCGATACATATTCAGGTACACGAAGGGTATCGATATGTGGTCGCTCGGATGTATTCTCGGCGAAATGCTCCTTGGAAAGCCATTGTTTCCTGGTTCGTCGACGATAAATCAAGTGGAGAGAATAATGGCCACTCTCCCGCCACCTACGAGAGAAGGTAATTACCTTCGATCGAAATCTACGTACGTAGAGAATCTAACGTAACGTAGACGCGTTACGATCGATTTCACTCGATCCCCTTCTATCTGCTCTTTCCTCAGATCTAATTTCGGTTAGCGCCGGATACGGAACCAATTTGTTGGAGAAAACACCGAATGCACCGAGGCGCTCGTTGAAGGAATTATTACCAGAGGTGTCGGAGAAAGCGTTGAGCCTCATCAGCAATCTTATAGTATTCAATCCTAATCACAGATTGACCGCTGTAGAGGCTTTGGAACATCCTTATGTGGCCGAGTACGTGCGCTAATTTTCCCCTCTCTCTCTCTCAAAAAAAAAAGGAGAAGTAAATTAATCTAATCCATTAACGACATTATTCGTTTCGCAGTTTTCACAGAAGAAGCAACGAACCGGAAAGAGGTTCGAGCGTGGTACCTCTGCTCAGGGACGATGTACAGCTGTCCGTCGACGAGTACAGAAATAAGCTTTATTCGATGATGGACGAGAAGCATCGCAAGCATAAGAATATGTATATATTGATACTATACTTTGATAAACGATTATTACTTATATAATTTAAACTTGACGTATTAATCGTGGATGGGAACAGGTCTAAGTCCAGAATCAGGCGATTATCGGAGCACATCAGGAAGGAAACAGTTAGTAGTAATAGTAACCCAGTTATCGGTCAAGGTGACGCGATTGTTGGTAAAAATCTTACACACTCATATCAAGATTTACGTAAGGAGAGAGGTAGAAGCGACGCAGCATACGAGCCCTCTTACGTAGAAGGTACGTTGTTTAGAAACTTCGATTCGAATTGTTTGAATCGATAATTGATTAACGAGAAACGTGTTTTAATTTTAACGCAGTACGTTCGCAACTGCCAAGCAAAAAGACGACACGGCATTCGCAAATTTTTAGTGATGAAAGAGTTACGAAGACGAGATCGATAACTATGGAGATGCAGACGCAAAATCCAAAAAATCTTCGACCACCTGGTAAGTTGTGTTAATCATAATTGGCGCCAAAAATTCGGAATATAATCTTTTTTATTCTTTTTTTTAATATCCACCAGTTAAAAATGTGGCAACTCAGTACACGCACAACTTTGTGAACGGCAATCTGACTAATTTGACACCGAGCACGACCAAAAGCTGTTTATATCTCAATCAACAACACCGACCATTATCCAAATCTCAACGTTCGATACAATCCGATCAACCAGTGGTGGTAAGGGAGCGAAGAATTTCTTTAAAAAAGAAATCCTTTCGATTTACGTCTCTGTCTCTTTACTATACTTGCGCATAACTCCCGTCCTTCGCTTAAAAGTAAAAAGACGATTCTGTCGTTACAGGCTACGTGTCGCGTGGGATTCATTTAGGTATCGTAATCATTTATACAGTGTCACGAATCAACCCGCTTCTCGCACGTTAACGACACGTTATCTTTTCTATACTCGAAATTGAATCGTATCAATCCATTTCACCACGCAATTCACCTTCATCCCCTCCTCCGTAACCTAATTTCATTCATTCACGTTTCATTCACAATTCGACACCGCAATTTCTAAATCGATTTTTCCTTCTTCTTTTTTCATTCTTTTTTTTTTTTTTTGTACAACTTGACAATTTCAGTGTGCTCCTGGAAAAAGAGCGAATCAAGCAGGGTCTAGTAATCGGGACAAATTGCGAAGGAATAACAAACAGATCCGCACGACGAATCGACTCGTGTCGGAGACGAATTGGCGCGAGGATGATCGGCAGAGGACTTCGTTCGGTTACGAGAATCCGAAGAGGCCTCAGACGAAGTACTTTGCGAGAACGCCTGACAGCACACCCTCTTATTACCTTAAGTGTCACAGCACCGTCAACAACAACAACAAGAATAACTCAAACAGCACCGAATCTTTGTACAATACTTACCATCCCACCGTGAAGAATTTAGCTATCCGAAACTACTTGAATCAGACGATACCATCGCGCGTGGAAGAGCAAACCCAATCGTTCCCTTGCCGAACGAGAAATAACACGGATTGCCGGATGATCCTTCGAAGTAACCCTAGCAATATCGAGAAGCTGAATCAGTCTATCACTAATTGTCAAACAGTTAATGGGAACAATCGATCGAGGAACGGACCCCTGAATCGGTGCCACGTCGCGGGGACGCAGTCGAAACATTTTATCGATGAGATCGGCACGAACAGCGAGAAGAAGTTGACGCCTATACGCGACTCGCCCTTCTTAGAATCCTATACGCAGAGTCACGGTGTGATAACGGCGTCAGCGTACAAAGATCTACGAAACGGGACTATAAGATGGTAAAATGGGCCAGGGCCGAAACTTCCGAAAAAAAGAACGGTTAATAATAATAATAATAATGCTCGAGTAATACTCGTGAGAAAAAAATAATATATGTAAAAGGATTGGAATATATATATATATAAAAGAATATTCCATCCTTTCGAAATCCTCGTATTGGATTCAACGTAGTATAAATTGATTTGGTTTTTATTAGATTAATTAAATTATTCCGGAACAAGTGTTTCTTCTTTTCTGCCCCTCTTCTTTCTCGAGCGAGTGTAAATATAATAGTAGGAAAAGAAAAAAATAAAAAAACAAATGTCGAAACGAACAAGTGTGAATTGTGGCACGGTTGAAGGGTGACCGTTCTTTTTTTCGGAAGTTGCGAACCCTCAGGTTAAAAGCTAACGTTCCTTCCCTAAAATAATTTTGCAAGAAGTTAAATAAATTATTTAGAAAAAAGAAAGAAAGAAAAAAAAAAAAGAATAAAAATGTAGAACAACGAGAACAACGTATCGTGCGATCGCGCGATATTTTCGCGAGTTCCTACGGGAATAAACTGCCGGAGCCTCAATAATATACATATAAACAAAGCTATCACAAGTGCAAGCATAAATAGCAAAATATAATATGATCTCGAGGCAAATGATACTTTAAGCTCTTAGGTAAGAAGAATTTTGCGATGTATGATCACTTTATAGTTCTAAGATAATAAACGGAAGAACGTATATAAAAAAAAAAAATAATAATAATAAAAAAATAATACGAATATAGTCGATTTTTGAAGGTTCACGATTATATCGAGTTGGATAATAAGTAACGAAAAAAAAAAAAAAAGAAAAAAAAATAAGGACAAATGTATAAGTAAATAGAGATGGAGCCAATTTTCACGGGGCCAAAATGGCGGTAAACGATGTATCATTTTTTCACGATATCATCGACATTTGTCCCCCCCTGCCGCGAGAAGCTAGGATAATACGATCCTTCCCTCTTCGCGTTCATTGTTTATTCCTCGACTATATGTAGCGTGTAAATTTCTTTGTAATATACCTTTTTTTGTGATACTTTTATGCGGCTATGTGGTAACGTCCAATTCGTATGTATTACCTGTCGTGGAATAAATTTTTATTAAAGGAATGCAACTTGTTCGCATTTTCTCCTCTCAAGATCAAAAGATTTTCTCGGCGGAAAAAAAAAAAAAAATTAGCATCGTGTCGCAACGAGAATGTTCTTTTTCACTGCGTCCACGCGTTTTCATTTTCCATCTCGTGACGCAATTCTAGGTCTCGTTCACGACCGTGTTTCTCTTCTTTCGAAACTACGTATTATCGTTAAAGTGTACATACGTATATATATACGTATACATCATTATTAATACAAATGTTATCTTCTACCATCCAGATTTGTCAAGGCACGAGACAGTAAGTTAACATACATAAACATAGAATTCCATCATAACTTACTTTTACTGCTACCGTTTACTTTAACATGTTAAAGAAACGCCACAAGTTTCATCGTTTCGTCGCATCGGACTTTAAAGGAGTATAAACGTTCGCATGAATATCTTATTGTATTTATCCTCAGTTTCAGTACAGTACTTGCGTTTCGAAACGTAGAAGTTTTCATCGAGATATACGATCCATCCTTATCATTTATATATATATTTTTTTTCGATTAAATCTTGGCTAAAAAGTTGGCGAAAATTCTTACAAAAGAAGAAAAGAATTCGGCCATCGATATCACTCAACGCGTGGATTGATCAAAGTCTACCATTTAATCCGTACGATACGTTGAAACTATATAAACGGAATACAAATCGGAACAAATCATACATGTTCTATTTCCAGAACGAGAGCAACATTATCATTATCGATTATATACGTATTCATAATGATTCCTGCGAAAAGGTTAACGAAAGTAAAATAGCCAATAAATAGTATTGTTCTTCAACAATAGCCGCTTCGACGTTGTTTCAAGAAAATCATTGGGTGCACGTTTCGCGAAACCACGAATAACCGTGATCTTCAAACCAAAGGAAATTCTTTTCGCTTCTATTTTTGCGGAGGTCAATTCAATTCGAATTTAATTGAGCCAGATAATACCATCAATGTCAATCCATAAAACGAACGAGTTTGCTCAACGCAAAAACAAATATTTGCAAACCGTTTGCGTTTATTCAGTCTTCTTGTCACAATTACGATCCCATTACGAGCCCTTTTAGCATCCTTCTTCTTCACGGACGATACTTCTTTCAAAGTTGAACGAGTGTGAACGACAAGGGTTAAACTATGGTCGAAAGTAGGGTACGAAAAACTCGTCACAGTTTCAACGTATTTCCTTTCCGAGCCTAGCCTTATTTGCTTTCTCCACTCGGTTAACAAACTTACCCTTTAGCCCGGCTTTAACTACTGCGTCTACTCGCTTCCCTCGCGTATATCATTTAACGTAACATCACATACTTGATATACAGGATAGACAGGAATGTAGATCGCCAGAACGAAATTCTTCTTCCAAGAAATTAAACGCGAAAGAAAATATTAATTGTTCCGTGAACGTAATAATTTTATTCTTTTCTTTTCGAGAAGATTAAAAATTATCCCACCAATTGATGCTCGATTTCATCGTTCATATTTGCAATCTACATCTAATGTATATAATAAATTTCCAGGTAAATCAGAAAATATTTCGATTCTCCTATTTCGATCGATCACCAATCGAGTCCTCTGTTTCCATTCCCCATCATTTGCACCATACATACTTTTATATACATCGAATATTTACAAACACGTGACGACACCGATATTCCGCATGTCTGTGAGAAATCGATTCTCACTACTCTCGTTAATCCTTGGATCGATTCAATTCTTTTTTTTTTTTTTTTTTATTCAACGTTTTTCGTCCGTGATAACCAAAGTGTTCACAGGTTGAACGGCAGCCTTGCTCCTCTCGCAACCGGTCTCCTGACTTTTCTTCGACTGTGCATGCCCGACCACCGCCGTGTCCGGCCTTCCTCTAAGACTTCGAAGCATGTAACAACGACGATGAGGGCTGTGCCTGGTGTAGAAGCTGTCGCAGCTGGTGGTGGTCGTTCGTCGAAGGGTTAGAACGGCGTGGTGGCCACCGATCGGCAATCCAGGTAACATTTTTCGCTTGCGAAGTAAGCTTCGTCTTATCGTGCCACTGGCACTACCTGCGCACATATCATCGATCACCCCAGTCCCTCGAGCACCCTGAAACAATAGATGGAAAGTACACTAGGACGCGTCGTTCTCTTAAACTTATTGCTTCCTTTTTCTTTTTTCTTTTCTAAATTAATCCATCATCGTTTATCGATTCAATATTTGACCAACAATAACGATGTTTACGATGTGCGTTTTTAGCAGTTTCTATTTCGACTCTGTCACTATCGAGGAAAGAAATTGTTACATTCTTTTTTTTTTTTTTTAAATCAAATTCCATCCTGCCAATTTGTAACATCTATTTCGATGATGTCATCGCGTATAAATTTTTCATGTGGATTTATTATTCCAGGATAGAAATCGTTATTGCTTCCTTTTTTTTTCTTTTTTTTTTTTTTAAATTATTCCATCCATTTGTGTCAATTTCTGGAATCTATTTCGATCTATTTGATGATCTACGACCGTTACCGCATTTCTAATGGATTTATTATACGAGAAGTAGAAAGAGAGAGAGAGAGAGAGAGAGAGAGAGAGAGAGAGAGAGAAGAG